TGAGAGGAACATATTTGAAGCAATTAACATCTGTGCAGTACTAATCTTAACATACAGCTTAAGGATTATAAAATGGAGCACAAAACATTTGGAAAGCATCCAAACAAAACCCATAAATTTTTTTTTTCCAATGATCATTGAACCATCATTACCAAAACAGAGGTAGTGATTCAACTCAATCAATGCTATGTCTTTACTGAATATCTTTTCTTTTATATGGGTAAGTAAATCTCCTTTTATTAACTGTTAGATGACCTGTGTTTCATTTCATTTCAATTCTGAACCTGAAGCACCAGACCAGCCCAAGTCAGGCCTGGTCTACAATACCCCCACAATCATCCCCTTTTCTCTGATCTTCATTATCTCCCAATCTATTGCTTTCTTCTCAATCTCTGCATTATTTGATGCCATGAATCACTTCTTTGGATTTTGTCTTTACTTTTCTCCTCCATAGCATTCCTACTTCTTGCCTTATCTTGCTTTCCAGAATGGTTGAATCAGTTCACATCTCCACCAACAGTGCATTAATGTCTCATTTTTTCCCATATCCTCTCCAACATTTGTCATTTACTTTTTCTATTCTATTAGATAATCCAATAGCTATTAGGGAATACCTCAGATTTGTTTTAATTTGCATTTCTCCAATCAATAGTGAGTTAGAATATTTTTTCATCTAGCTATAGATAGTTTTGGTTATTTCAAATGAAAGCTGATTACATCTTTTGATCATTTATCAATTGAGGAATGGCTCTTATTTTTATAAATTTGACTCAGTTCCCTATATGGTTGAAAAATAAGGCCTTAATCAGAGAAACTTGCCTCAAAAAATTTTTCACAGTTACTACTGCTAACTATATTTCCCTCCATCCCATTACCCCAACCTCGTTTACTCTATTCTCTCTCCTATCCCTCCTCAAGTGTTTTGCTTCTGACTACCCCCTCCCCCAATCTGTCCTCCCTTATATCATCTCCCCCCCTTTTCTCTTATCCCCTTCCCCTCCTACTTTACTATAGGGTAAGATAGATTTCTATACTGAATTGAGTTTTTATGTTATTCCCTCTTTGAGCCAATTCTGATGAGAGTAAGGTTTACTCACACCTTCTCAATTCCTCCCTCTTCCTCTCCACTGTAAAAGTTTTTTCTTGCCTCTTTTATGTGAGATAATATACCCCATTCTACCTCTCCTTTTCTCTTTCTCCTACTATATTCCTCTCTCACCCTTTAATTTTAATTTTTAGATTATCATCCCTTTATATTGAACTCACACGTGTGCCCTCTGTCTATATATACTCCTTTCAGCTTCTGTTCTCTTCTTTACTAACATGTCTACTACCCTAGTTTAGGCCCTTATCACTTCTCATCTAAATTATTGCCATTCTTAAAATTGGTCTCCATGAAATGATATCTCTCCTTTCTAATCCATCCTGCACACAGCTGCCAAAGTGATTTTCCTTAAATGTAGGTCTGATGATGTCAATCCATAACTCAATAAATTCCAAATCTTACATTTAATAGCTTATATTTATAAGCTTATTTGATTAGCTTTTAAAACCCTTTACCACCTGGCATCGCTCCCATTACTTCACTCTTTAGTCTAGTCAAACTGGTCTTACTGTTCTTCACACATGATACTTTATTTTCCATCTTTGTAGTTTTGCATTGCTATCCCCCCATGTCTGAATTGCACTCTTACTTCACCATTAGAATTCTTTATTTCCTTCAAAATTATGTTCATTTTTACATAAAGCTTGTATTTATTTTATACATGCTTATTTGTATACATGTTTTCTCCTTGTACATGCAAGCTCTTTGAGAGCAGGGAGTGTTTTTTTTTCCTTTTTGTATTCCCAGCACTTAACATATTCCCTGGTATACAGTAGGCACTTAAACACTTGAAGATTATGGAGGTGGAATTGACAAGATTTGGCAACTAATTGCATATGAGGAATACGGGAGAGGAAAGAGCTGTGGATGACTCTGAAGTTACTTTGGTTCTCTTCCTACATGTCTCACTACTCTGTCTCATTCTCCTTTCCTGGTTCATAATCTAAATCATAGCCCCAAAATGTGGATGTTGCCTAAGGTTCTGCTCTAGACTCTCTTCTCCTTTCCCTCTACACTCTTTTGGTGACTTCATCAGGCCTCTTGGGCTTAACTATCATCTCTAAGTAGATAATTCATGAATCTATATATATAACCCCAATCTCTCTCATGAGCTTTAGTCCCTAAGCAACAATTACACATCTTAAACTGGATGTCTAAAACTAAATATTATCTTTCCTAACAAACCTGCCCTCTTCCAAACTTCTTGGTTTCTCTTGAAGGCACCATCATCCTTCTATTGTCTCAGATTCATCTCAGCATTATCCTGCATTTTTCCCCTCTTCCTCACCCCACAATATCCAATCATTTGCCAAATCTTGTCATTTCTGTCTTCACAGATCATTGGCATATGATTCCTTCTCTCGACTCACATAGCTGCCACTTTAGATCAGGTCTTTGTTATCCCTCTTTTAAATTATTGTGACAGCCTCCTAATTGGCCTCTCTGTCTTAAGTCTCTTTCCACTTGAGTTTATCCAACTGCTGCCAAAATATTTTTTCTTATGTGTAGATCTGACCATATATGACTCTCCCAATCATGCAGGTCCTACTGCCACTAGAACAAAACATAAGCTTCTCTGTTTAGCTTTTCAAGCCTACACAACCTGCTACCAACCTATCTTTCCAGCCTCAAAGGACGTTATTCCTTTCCCTGAACTCTTCAATGTAGCTGTCCTGGCCTTCTTTCAATTATTCACACGTGATACTTCCATTTCCCATCTCCATGACTTCAAACTGGCTATCCTCCATACTTGGAATGCTCTCTATCCTTATCTCTGCCTCACAGAACCCCTTTTTTCCCCTTTAAAATTCAGTTCAGGAATTACCTGCATAATGCCTTTTCTGATCCCACTGCTCGTATACATTTGTATTATTCACTTTATATTTATGTTGCATATATTTATATACATAACCCAGCTTCCAAACAAACTTTTGGAGATTGTTTTCTTCTAACTGACTTACTGAGTTGGTTTCATAGGCAATTTTCAGAGAGTCAATTGGACCAATGACACTGCAGAGAGTTGGGGGAGGGGAGAGAGAGAGAAAGAGAGAGAGAACTATGCTTAGATAAACACACACACACACACACACACACACACACATGTCCTTGTCTCCTCCATTAAGTAAGTTTCTTGTGAGTAGAGATTATTTCATTCTTTATAATTGTATACCTACCCTAGCACAGTGCTTGGCACATAGTTGGAACTTTTTTCTGCTTTGTGTGTAGTAATGAGGATTCACTTGAGACTGGATAAGGTAAATCTTGCCATGCACCCAGGTAGAAAAATTGTATGACATCTTTTAAAGACATTAACAAATACCTGGACAAGGTGATGGTTGAAGTAATCTAGGAAAGAGTGTTGGCAGGACAAGGGGACAAGAGATTGAAGAGTCAAGGAAAATATGAAGGTGAACTTATTAACTAATAAGAGTTGAGCTTATGAAGGGAGGAAACAGGCCCGAACAGAGGAAAGAGAAGGGTAGAGTGCTTGGAAGTAGTAGTGAGGGTAAATATTGGGTTTCAGAGGATAAATGGAAAGCTGGAAGGATATATTTTCTTGCACTTTTTGGAGAGGTGGAATACTTTAGGGTGACAAAGAGATCAAAAGTATGACAATATCTTTGAGTTCCTGAGGTAGATAAAGGTTTGGACCTTAGGAGGTGAGACCATAAACTGTGAAGCAAGACTATTTGAGAAGGCATCAACAGATAAATTGAAGTCCCCAAATATAAGAACAGGTATTGAACTCCTTGAGAAAGGAATGACAATGACCTGGGAAGCAGTACAGAAGAGCCACTTTGATTTGAATAGGATAATACATCTTGAAGGTTGAGGAGAGGTTACTGAGTGAAGGTGTTAGAGGGAAGGGGAAAGGAATAAATATTTATAGAGTGCCTAGTATGTTTGACCATGCTATGCATTATGCAATGCAGTTTTACAAATATATCTTATTTAAGTCTCACTATAACCCTGAAAGATGTAGATTACCATTATCCCCATTTTATAGATGAGGAAACTGAGGCAAACAGAGGTTAAATGACTTGGCCGGGGTTTCACAGCTAGTAAATATCTGAGGTTAGAGCTAAGCTGCCTCAGGGGCGGGTTAGAAAGTGAAGCAACAGCTTCATTTTACAGATGAGAAAACTGAGTCATAGTGATCTCATAGGTAGTAAGTAGTCAAGCTCAAACTCCAACTCAGGTCTTGGGAATGATTTCAAGTCAAATACCCTAGCTTCTTAGACCACACTGCCTCTCACTGGGTGGTACTGGAGAATTTTATGAATAAAGGAAAGGAATAAAGAGAGTCAAAAACAGAGTTGCTTAGTTTGAAAAGAAGGGAGCCAGTGAAGGAAAAGATCCAAGAGGTAATATAATAGTCAATAAGGGAGGTGATTATTCAAAGATACCTTGAGGAACACCAACCCCAACTCCCCACTTGCGCCAAAGTTGTGGTTGGAGAGCAGGGAAGGAACTGCTAAAGCCCTGGACTTAATGGCATTATATGACACTCCAACATTGTGGATATTTTTTAAAAAAATGGGGGTGAGGTTTCTCTGGCTGGGGTTCCCCACAGACAGGAAGGGTCTAGACTAATAAAGATTATCAGGTTGCACATTTCAAAGGGATCCTGGGAAAAGTGGGCATCTAGGGCACGAAAGAGGAAGATCAAGGCCTGTGGACCAAAAGATGATGAGATGATGGGGAGGGAGGAGGGAGAGGAGAGAGAAGAGGGATTGGAGGAGAGAGAAGACAGGGGAGGGGGAAATGGGAAGAGGGAAGGGGAGAGTGGGAGGGATGAGAGCATCCAAAGGTCTGTGCGCATGAAGGGTGGAGTTTCAACCCTGAAAACCACGTGACAAGCATCTAAATGACGGGTACTGCGGAGGGCGGGCCTTGAAGGGAAATCAACTTCCGGAAGGCAGAGGTTGGCTCGAGGACCTTCTCACCCCCACCCTCCACCCCCTACCTGGGAACAAGTGGGAGACAGCTCCGCCTGGAGGGTCCCAGACTGGGTGCGTGTGGAGGCTGGGGGAGGGGTCGGGATGGGGGGTAAGCGGCCCAGACGCCTGTGACCGCGGCGGCAGCCCTCGCCGCAGCTGGGAGCAGGTAAAGGGACAGTAAGCCCAGCCCTTCGCGTTGCACGGGGCTCAGCAGTGAGGGGCGAGGCGGGGCCCGGGCTCGCCGAAGGGGCGGGTGGGAGAGGACACGGTGCGCGGCCCGGCTGGCGTCTCCCTGGCCCCTCCCTGAAGCTCCTGCCCCTGACCCGGGGAGGGTGAAGGGGGCGTGCCCGCGTCTCCCTCCCACAGCGGCACACCCCCGGGGACCGAGCTGTGTGTGCCCCGAAACGCGGGAGCGTCGCACCTCGGCGTCCTCCCCCGGCCTGGCCGGGCTCATGGAGCCGCCAACCGCCCCGTCCTGCGGTTCCGGGGCTTTGCCCGATCTTCTTCACGCTCACTCTGGACCGACGGTTGTGGAGCACAGTGCATTTCAGGGGTGATGCAGAAGCCTGTGTCTATCCCTCCTTCATGTGGTTCATAAAGTGTCACATCGAAGTTCCCCACTCCACAATAAAGACGCTTCTCTATTGGCCAGAAGCCCTGGAGGTTTTGGAAATTAATCCAGTTTTTGGTTCCGATTAAAAGAATGGTAACTGTTAAAAGCAGCACTTAATGTCTTGGGGTAGGATGGTGTAGCCTCGGCTGCTGCCCTTATTTCTCTTATGAGAGTTAGGGCAGAGCCTGATTTCCTGGAGGGTAAAGTCTTGGCCACCACTGTAGGTGAGTCAGCGGCCTCATACTGAGGGACGAGTTTCCTCCTTTTCTTTTTTTTTCCCTTCCCCCTCTCAACTATGCAGATAAAGATCCTACCTTCCTTTCCAAATATTTATTCAGCCTGCAGTTGGATGGTGGCCTTTGGAAACAAGTTTGAAGTCTTTGGGGTGGGCTGACATTTCATCTGAAAGGCTTAGGGCAAAAGGCAGAATGTTTAATTGAGTAAGCTGATAGGTCTTGACAGCTACCTTCATTGAATATTCCTTGCCGCTTGTGAGCCAGACACCAATTTATTCCATTTGCTAGATGTACCTTCTGTTTTGTGCAAAGTTATCTTGCACCTGTTTTGAAAATAGAGCCAGTTCTACAGATAGGGATAGCTCCCATATGGTGTCACCTGTAGCAAAGAATTTCCCTAGTTACAAAGTTTGATGTCTTTGATGCAAGCCAGGAGTTTGTAGTTGTAGGCTGAGAAATTCTATGATGAACTTGTTTCTTGGCAACAGTATAAGCCAAGTGGAATAAACATAACAGCAGTAGAAAGTGATGAAAAGTTATAACATATTTTTTCCTTTTTTAAAGGAAAAAAAGAAGAGCTTTGAGAAGTCAATTCAAAATTAATAAACCTTTTTTTGTGTGTGTATTTATCATTTTAGACAAAGGAAAATGGGAAATGCATCATAGTGTCTATGGCTACAGTGCTGGACTTGAGTTTGAATACCACTTAAGATACTTACTATCTGTGTGACCCTGAACAAGTAACTTATCCCTCTGGCTTCAGTTTCCCATCTGTAAAAGGAGGAGGCTGGGTTCAGTGAACTTTTAAGGTCCCTTCTAAGTCTAAATCTGTTATCCTATATTGTCCCTTCATATTGTTTTTTTCCTCATTTTATGTAATTTAGAAAAAGTAACTTGCTTAGATAAATTAGAATTTGCCCAACATAAACACTTGATTTTGGATATCAAGATTTAGAGCTGGACATGTTATTAGAGATTCGTCCATTTTCCTCATTTTACAGATGAATTCTAGAAAGTCTAAATCCCTTGCCCAAGTTTAGTGTGAATTGAGATCCAAATCTAGGCCTTTTAAGAACAGTAGGACCAGTGCTTTTCTCAATATACTAAAATGCCTGTGTGGTGGTGCATGTAAGATTTTGAGAATGTGTAGGATGATGGCATTACTATGATTAAAGGACTGAAGGTCATTTTTTAGTTTTTTCCATGGATTGCCATTTCCAAAAAAAAAAATTCTCACTGCGTGGCCATTGTACTAGTGACGTGCCTTTCAATACTTAACTAGGTTGGTCCTTGTAAAACAGAATTTGTCTGTTGCCAGGGTTACACTTGAAGTCTTTCCAGTATGGTAAAACCTGCCAGAGCTCATGCTTTGTTGGCATTACCATGAAGTAGCTGATATCGCCCTGATGTAGTGACATAATAGAAATGGGATTTTGTGTAAAGTTGAACAGGAGAAAGAGAATAGATTGAATTGCCTTTGGGAAATTTCTTTTTCTTTTTTTCTTTTTTTTTGGTTAGGCAGTGAGGTTAAGTGACTTGCCCAGGGTCACACAGCTAGTAAGTGTTATGTGTCTGAGGCTGGATTTGAACTCAGGTCTTCCTGAATCTATCTACTGTGTCACCTAGCTGCCCCTGTCTTTGGGAAATTTCAAAGCTTCTGTAATGATTTCAAGTTTCCATGAAAGCAAAAGGCCTGTCTTTTTAATACCAGCATTGACATTTTGTAACCCTTGGTATACCTTGAAGAATAAAAAATAAGTATCACACAGAATGCAGCAGAGAGGTAAATGATTGGTGTGTGCAGACTGCAGTATATAACCTGTGGGAGATTCTGAAGAAGAATAGGAACGTTATGGATGGAAGAGAAGATGGGGTGGTCACATGGTAAGAACAAGGGATGGTGAGTGGTTAGTGCTCCACTGGTGTCCTCTTGTTGTCAAGATAAATCAGGGAAAGCCTCCAGCACGTTGATGAATCCACTGGGATAAATGAATGTAGGGGAGGGCTTAAACAAGAGTCCCCCAGGATGGGTGGGCATGGATAGATTGTGATATACATATTTGGAGAAAAGGGGAAAGGAATAAGCATTTATATAACATTTATGTAGTACCTACTATGTGCCAGGAACTGGCACCAGGGAACTTTGGAATTGTTGAGTGTCTCATGGATCTTAGAATTATTTAATTTTAATTTCTCTAATTATTACTAATTTCTTCCTTTGAAAATTGACTGTATAGTCTTTGGCCATTTGTCTTTTTGTGAATGGATCTTGTTCTTATAAATTTAAATTGGTTCCTTGTATCTTTATATCCATATATATCCATATCCTTATATCCTGTTGAGATAACATATGTAAAGTTCTTTGTAATCCTTAAAGCACCATATAAATGTAACTCTCGGGACAGCTAGGTGGTGCAGTGGATAGAGCACTGGCCGTGAAGTCAGAAACACCTGAGTTCAAATCCGGCCTCAGACTAAACACTTGACACTTACTAGCTATGTGACCCCGGGCAAGTCACTTAATCCCAATTGCCTAAAATAAATGAATGAATGAATGAATGTAACTCTTGAGAACTGTGTCTTTATTAGGGCAGTTAGAAGGGGTATACATAGACATTTTCTCATCACTTCTTTAGGACTGAGCTTGGTCATAATATAGTGTTTAGGTTTTTCTTAAAAATCTCTTTTTAAAACTTTTCCCCCAGTTAATAGTATTTTTTTTCCAACTACATATAAAGATAGTTTTCAACATTCACTTTTATAATAAAAATTTTGAGTTCCAGATTTTTTCTACCTCCCTTCCTTGGCTCCCCTCCTCCTCAAGAGGGCAAGCAATATGATATAGGTTATACATGTACAATCATATGAAAAATATTTCACACATGTGAAAGAAGAATCAGAACAAAAAGGAAAAACCACAAAAAAAAAAAAACCCCAGCAAAAACCAGAAAAAGTGAAAATAGAATGCTTTCAGATCTTTCTTTCTCTGGATATCATTTTCCATCATGAGTCTTTTGGAACTATCTTACATCATTGTATTACTGAGAAGAGCTAAGTCTATCAAAGCTGATCATCACACAGTGATGATTGTTACTTTGATTGTAACAAAGATTGTTACTGTGTACAATGTTTTCCTGGGTCTGCTCACTTTACTCAGCATCAGTTCATGTAAGTCTTCCTGGGTTTTTCTGAAATCTGCCTGCTCATCATTTCTTATAGCACAAGAGTATTTCATTACATTCCTATACTCCAACTTGTGGAGCCATTCCCCAGTTGATGGGCATCCCCTCATTTTCTAATTCTTTGCCACCACAAAAAGAGCTGCTATAAATATTTTTGTACGTGTTGGTCCTTTTCCCTTTTTTAAAATTATCTCTTTGGGATTATAGACCTAGTAGTGGTAGTGGTGAATCAAAGGGTATGCACAGTTTTATAGCCCTTTGGCCATAGTTCCAAATTGTTCTCTAGTTCACAACGCCACCAAAAATGCATTAGTGTCTCAATTTTCACACATCTTCTCCAACATTTATGATTTTCCTTTTCTGTCATATTAGCCAATATGATAGGTATAAGGTGATGCTTCAACGTTGTTTTAATTTACATTTTTCTAGACAATAATATTAGATTTAGGAGCATTTTTTCTATGACTTTAGATAACTTTAATTTCTTCCTCTAAAAACTGACTCTTCATATATTTGACCACTTATCAATTGGAGAATGACTTATATTCTTAAAAATTTGACTTCTCTATATATTTTAGAAATGAGGCCTTTATCAAAAACATTGGCAGTAAAAATTGTTTTCCAGTTTTCTGCTTTCCTTCTAATCTTGGTTGCACTGACTTTGTGCAGAACCTTTTTAATTTAATATAATCAAAATTATCCATTTTGCATCTCATAATGTTCTCTATCTACTACTGTTTGGTCATAAATTCTTCCCTTCTCCATAGATCTGACAGGTTAACTATTCCTTGTTCTCCTACTTTGCTTATGGTACACACTTTAGGTTTAAATCATGTACCCATTTTGACCTTTTCTTGGTATACAGTGTAAGTTGTTGGTCTGTGTCTAGTTTCTGCCATTCTATTTTCCAGTTTTCCCAGCAGGTTTTGTTAAACTTTGAGTTCTTATCCCAGAAGCTGGAGCCTTTGGGTTAACCTGTTTCACAGATCCACCACTCTATTTCTTAGCCAGTACCAAATAGTTTTGATGATTGCCACTTTT